TGCGACAGATGAGACCGTAGAAGAAAAGGTAAGTTGTCTTCCTTCAGCATTTTCACAAAGAAAGCATACATAATCGCGACTAAATTTTGATACATATATATATAACGCGATGGCGTTTCTTAAATGTACACTGAGCTCAAAAACTGGGCCGACGGAGCAATTAGAGGGCCAGTAAGTCTCGATATTAATAATCCAGTTTTTTCGTCACCATTTGTATTTAATAAAAAAATAATCTTCGTTAAGTGCTTGGATATTCCCTGCTATGTTATAAAATAACCCCCCCCCCCCCCCCCTTTAAACACAACACGCAATATTTACGTTGCAAGGTTGATTCCGAGTTAGGAACAATTCGGAAACATGCTTCTAGTTCCAGATGTCGATGTTCAAATGCACCTGACTCACACAGTGCCATCTCACTTGCAATTTCCCAATTGCAAATTTCGCTCGTATACTGAAAAAGAAAGTGGTGAGAGTTGTATTGTTTACTGTCGCATTTGCGAAATCGCGAGCGAAATGGCACCATATGAATTGGTCTGTTGCAGAATCGCTCCTAACTCACAATATGACTCGCAATGTAAATTTCCGCTATTCTCTTTTTTTTTTTATTATTATTATCGTGTGCCACACGCGTTTAATAAAACACTCAAATGACCCCGCTTTGTTTTTTTGTTTTTTTTTTGTTTTTTTTTTTTTTTGGGGGGGGGGGGGAGTGTTAAGTGTTTCTTTAAGCTCAGCACACTTTCGATGTGTGCCACAAGGCGGACATTCTTAAATGACGACACAGCTTGACGCCGGTTCTAGCCCGATTGTTTGAGGAACCTTCGGTAGCCCGTGTGCGTCGACGGCGTGTTTGCCAAAGCGGGCTTTGAACCGTCAGCGACTGCTCCTCCTGAGCAGCGTCCATCATCTTCGAGTCCGCGTGTAAGCCTCGACGACACGGTTGTTGTCACTGACGGAATGAAAACGACACGGAGGTCTTTCCGTCGTCCCGCCTTTAGAGCCGCCGTCACTGGCAGCATGAGAACTGCAGGTCGCCTCTTTCCGATGTCCGACCTCCAGCACGCGCTCGCTGCCTTCGGTTGTGCTTTGGCTACGCGTGCACGCTTGAAAGCTCGCGCTAGAGGCAGGATCATGCTGAAAGACTCCGTTCTAATCCTGTCGGTTGCTATAGCTTTGATAACAACTTCGCGTCGTGGGCTTCGAGCGTGCACGCGCAACCAAAGCATAGCGGAAGGCAGCGAGCGCGTGCTATAGAGGCCGTGCGTCCAAAAGAAAAGCCCTGTCATTCTTATCCTTCCAGTGATTATAGTCATAGCTTCCCCTATACTTACAAAGCCTGGCAGTTGGACGACGGAGCCACAGAGAGCACGGTCGCAGATTTGGAGCGCGAGGATCTGGTAGCACAGAGCACCAAAGAGCCATTACTCGGGGAGCCTGGACGTCAGCGACCAGCGTTTGCAGCGGCGAGGACCCGAAACACACTCGTGCGCTCGGGAGAAGTGTGTTTCGGCGTCTCGCCGCAGCGGGGCGCCAGTCACGTGGCTCTAATCTCATCCGTTGTCTGCCGCTCCGCCTTTTTCTATTTCGGCGGCCGCTTCTCGTGGCGATCTGCCAGGCTTTGCCAGTATGTAGGAAACCATGTTATAATATTCCGGGGATCATCAACAACAACCCACTTGGGAGAAGAAATTGGATACAATATCCTGCGACTTGGGCGTATATTCTGTTACTAAAGAAAACGTCTCCGAAGTAGATAATCGCTGGGTAATTGTATTTTCTTTTTATGTTTTGAGTTGAATTTTGTAGTGATATGACTAGCCGAAGTAATTTCGGAGCAGCCAATAGTACATGTTCAAAAGTGAGAAGGTGTTTTAGAGCACATGCATCGAACTCGATAATACGACTGAGAATTGGTGAGTTTGGGAAGAGTTTTACTTCAACTTTTGCCAATGGCCCGTGCGAGAGAAAATTGTACGTCTGTTTTTTAACTATGCTTCGTTACGGTCACTCAGGCAACATCCTTCACTGAAATGGCACCCCGCTTGATTTCCGACTCCAAAAACAAAAATTGTGTTTCTTTGTTATTTAGCTGTGTCAAAAGTTTCGGTTGTGTTAGCGCACCGCTGTTCGGAGCACGGGGGACGGGGGACGGAAGCTCGCGCTGCAAAACCCGGGGATCTTGGGTTCAATTGTTCAATCCCCACCCTTGAGCGTTTCGAACACTAGCATCGTACCTGCGTGCGGTGGTGAATTACTGTCGCCTTATTCACGTTAAAGGAGCCATGAAACGTTTGTTTCTACTTTCGCGAAATACTACTTAGAATCACTCCGTAACGTTAATGACCGAATAAACTCGCCTTAGTTTCTTTTTTTCTTTTTAAACAAGTTGCAAAAAAAATTGAGAAATATGAGCATTGTTTATTCCCTCAACTCTGAGCCAGAACAAGCGGCCACCGTCATAGAGTTATTACAATAAACGCTAGAGGCTCAGCTGGCGCTAGTGTCTACGGTACTTCCGGTTGCAAATCGAAGCAGACAGCAAACAGTCTACTTTTCCAGTCTTCCTGTGTATTCCTATGGGAAAACGTGCGTGATATTTTTCTCTTCGCCGGGGAATAATAGAAATCAGCGTAGTTTCTTTACTCGTAACGGGTACTATGCAGCTTTACTCACATTATAAAAGTGTACTTTATTCAGTTAGTGACTTCTTTTTTTTATTCCTGAGCGATGTCTAAATCAGCGAAACTTGAGGCCCAGGTCTATGTTCTCCAGCATGGTATGTCAATACAAGCTATCATTTTAAGCAAGAAGAACAGCAATCGTATTTATTTCAGAGCAACAACACTCGGTTACTGCTTTATTTTGATTACTCATTCATAGTTGGTTGCTAATACAATACTTGTTCTTCATTCCGTAACATATTCCTCATTCTTGTCATCTGGTTTTATTGTTTGATTTGGCATATATCAGCATCCTTTTGGTGTTTTGTCGAGCTGATTCACTCTGTGTGCTTCAGAGTAATCGCGATATGCGTAAATACGTGCCCTATAATAGCAGTCTGCCACGTCTACACATATTATGCATGTGCATTGGGCTATTTTAGTGCAGTGTTCAACGCCATGAATTCTAAAGAAAAACCCACTGACACATATTTTTATACATCCGATTGTAAAACGTTCCACACTTTTGATTCTGTCACAACACTAAGCAATATTTGCTTTTATAATCAAGCGCGAAAACGTTTTCCGATAGGAATGCATTACCGGAAGTCAAATTTAGACTGGTTGCTGTCTGCTTCAAAATGCGACAGCACACAAGCGCCACCTGAATCTCTAGCGTTCATTGTGATAACACTATGGGCTCCGGGGGGTCCGTGGCCGTGTGGGCTAGCGCACACCAGCTCGGAGCACGTGGAGCGAAAGCTCGCGCTGCAGAACCCAGCGATCTTGGGCTCGAGCCCCACCCCTGCCCGTCTCAATCTGGATGAGCATCGTACCGGCTTGCGTTCGTGTATCACTACTGCGTGGCGCACGTTAAAGACCCCAGGCTAGCGGCTGTACCGCACTGGCTAAATTGCTCATATACAGTGGGTAACAATGTCGCCATGTTCTGGCAGGCTAACCTCCTGCTGTATAAACAACTAACGACTAATTTGACTTGATTTGTCTATTGTATGGACCACGTGGCCTGGTACCTATCCTATACCGCCAGCGTTAGAGCCACTAAATGAGCTGTGCTTAGAGTATCGACACTCCGTTTACCGACATTGTTGTGGGCACCGCCATTTTGGTGCTTGTGTAGAGCAGACGCAGCTGCCGATCGTCTTGATTCAAAAGTGCAACTTCCTC